TATAGTGTTTATAGTTCAGCAAAATGGGTGTGCTTTTTGAAAAATAGTGTTTTAGCAATCGAGAAAAACTGTAAGTGTAATTTTAACAAATCAGTCAATTTTAACCTTCAATATTATAGTAATGTAACACCAACTGACTCTCCTGTATATTTTACAGCATTAGTTGAGAGATTTTTTTCCTTGAGAAAATTTGGCATGTACTGTACTTGATATATATTCAAAATAATCGAAATCAAATCGAATCGAATCGAATCACAAGCTTGTGAATGAGAATCGAATCGAATCGTGAAATTTGTGTCAAAACCCAGCCCTACTAAAAATGTTCCCCTTCAGGTCGTAATACACATGCCTTTTTGCTGTGAAATCTTGAATGAATTTTATTGATTATCCATACATAATTTTATAGAAAAATAATAATGTGTATATAAATATAATGTAGGGCTGTCACTAATGATTATTTTGGTAATCGAGTAACCGCTCGATTATTCTGATGATTAATCGAGTAATCGGATATTTTTTGGTGGTAATTTTAATAAACCTAAGCAAAAAATGGACTTTAAAATCACTTAAAATACATATATAATAGCAATGAGGCAAGAATTGGTTCAAATAAAATATCACAAGCAAGTTAGCATATGGTTTTATTGAACAAAACAGTTGAAATACATACTGTAATAAAATAATATAATGATAACTTATGTATATTATGTATTATATCAAATGCCTGCAGAGGTGCCAACAGCCTGACAATTGTTTTTACATTTATACAGCACGATCTAATCCTTGTTTAATATTGACTAAACAACTTTAATTCAAATGTCCACTTAATCTTTACTATTTGGCCACTTCTTTATGATAGAAATGCTACAGCCGCTGTCATTTCTTGAACAAGAACATGTGGACATAAAAAAAAAGTGAACTCAGAGCAAGGGTTTAAACTTATATTTTGAAGTTGTGATGAACAGTTAGCATATTTAGAAAGATTTCTAAACGTATTCTCCTGTGTTGGCGTAGGATTATAAATTATTTACCTTATCAATCTGACAGAATGGTGCACATTGTTCCCAGATGAACGTTATAAGCAACTCGGGCTCACAGCATATGCAGAGATTGAGACGCTCCACACATGTAATTGATAACTGTTTGTGTGGAGCAGCATTTACTGTGAACGGAGCCGCTCTGAGATGCATGTAACCTACACGCATAGAAATAAAGCACATATTAAACCCGCAGCACATATCTTTATTTCATTGAATCGCAGCTTTTGTGAATTCATAATAGCACTATGCTTTATTATGATTGCTAAATGGTTTGAATATTTCTTGCAGCCTTAGAAAACGGTCTAATAATGCTTTTCACAGATTCTTGTCTGTGGAATATGCCACATATTTTGCCGCGTTTAAATTTTTTTTTATCGAGTACTCGAATTTAATCGAGGAATCGTGACAGCCCTAATACAATGCATTATCAAATATGATACATCAGGCTTTTGACATTTATTTGTTCATCTCTCAATCATCGTCACCATATTGAATTGCATTATGTTTTGCCCCAAACAATAAAAACGGCAGAGCTTTGATCATAAAACTAAGCGTTTAAATATCATCTTGCTAAGACATATTATTGGACGATATACAATGACAACTGGTATTTATAATGTAAGTAGTCTGTTATACTGTTATAAAGATCTCATTCATTTACATTACAATCAGAATCAATCTTACTTTATGCCCACATAAATAATACCTTATGCACCAAATTGCATATTTTTGTTTGGGCCACTGAATAAAATTAATGCTTTTTTCCCTCCTCAAGTAAGAGCTCGATATTCTCCAATATCATACAATGAGCCATAAAAGCTTGATGTATCAAATATGATACAAAAAAAATATATATATGCACACTTTTTTTGTTAGGTTCTTTTAGATTGTCTAAAAAAAATAAAAAAACGTTTGCGCTTTCATGTGTCAGACTTTAGAGGACTAAGAATTCTGTGTAAATTCTCTGCATGTAAAAGAACCTCATGTAAAAAGAAATGCACTAAAATGTGGCACTCGGACTGAGATCAGGCTGAAATGATCAGGGAACTTCAGTCAGTCGTCTGTAGTGTTTGAATTCTTCAAAGGGATCTGCAGAGCGGCAGGTGCTACATGAACTTTAACCCATTTTATTCTTATCATTAGTTCATCTGGTGATGGTAATAATAGTAAAGCTTACTTCCTCTGTATTAGCTCACCATGTCATGACCATGAGTAGCTATTGTCGGTGTTCCTGTAGCTCAGACAGCACAGCATGCTGCTAGCAACGCAAGTTCATGAGTTTGAATCTCAGGGAATGCATCAACTGATAAAATGTATGCCTTGGATATGTTATAAATCCCTTCGGATAAAATATATATATATTGTTATTTTTTTTATTTCTTTTATTTTCACAGAGGAGGGAGTTTTAAGTTGTGAAAGTTACAGTGTGCACAGTTTTATGTATAAAAAATACTTTGTCAAAAGGTAAAGTAAATTGTATTCTTCAGGATTTGATCTCTTTAACTTAGTAACCTGTAACAAATATTGTAAAATTAAAAGGAGCCATGCTTTATAAGTACTATTTTTACAGATTTTTATAGTGCATGAAGCACATAAGAACAAGGAACAAAGCTCTCTCTCACTCCCTTCAGACACAGACAGTAGAAGCCAAGTAGGTTGAAGACCACTACATATTTCTACAACAATGAGCTCTTGTATTTCAGCTGTTATAGCTCTCAGTATCATGACTGACAACCATTGGCTTTCTTTTTAAAGGAGAAAGAAGGTTTTTTCAGTCTGGTTCTTCTAGTAGATTTGGCCCCTCAGAACTATTCAGGTTACTTGTGTTTAATTCTATTGAGCAAATCACCATCAGCAGGGCTGTAACATCCATCCATCTATCCGTTCGTCCGTCCGACCGACCATGTGTAGTTGTGACTGAGGAGATATTTCTTCATAAGGACAAATGATCATGGCTCAAAATCTGCAAAGGGGTAATTCAATGTAACAAATCAAGTAAAAATCTATCATCTTTTATTGGAAAAACATTTTTATCAAACTTTGATAATTGCCTAGTGCTGCACGATTATGACAAAAATCATAATGGTCAATTATTCCCTTGTAATTGTGATTATTAATTACGATTATCACAGTTTACATTGAATGATGTTTATACCATTGTTTGAAGCAACTGCATGCCATATATTTATATGAAAATAAGCACGCGGAAAACACTAACTGAAGAACTTTTATTGCTTTTCTATAGTATTAAGCCTCAAATGTCAACTATACATTGGATTGGTTTCTTCTTTTAATAATAAAAAAAGTAAAAAATATGCATGATATTATAATGTTATACTAAAACTAAAGTTGGAAGAAAAAAAACCTTAAGATAACTCGTAGAAAGGGGAAAAACCCACAAGCACTCAGAAAAATAAAGGTGGACTTTGAACGATTACGTAGTTGAGGCATCTGTAATTGTAATCGCGATTAGAAATGTGATTAATTGTGCAGCCCTATAATTGCTTTAATCTTTTAAACAACTGAAAAGTTAAGAGAAATAGGTAAATATCTGTCAGTTTCAACAAATGAAGAACTAATTTATACTTGTGTGTTGTGTATTAGTGTAGGTACGTTATTGTCTCTGGCGGACAGCATGATAAAGCCGCTCAGGCCGCCGTTTTCTCCTTCCTCTCAGAAAGAGATGACAAAACATCCGGTAGTGTGTGTTTTCCAGGAAATGCGTGTACTGCCTGGACCTCTGCAGGCTTCTCATAAGTACGACTATATATTGTGCATGTTATTTTTTGACCGACATCGATGTTGTGTTCATATTAATTGATGCCCATGAGTGTATGTCAAGTCAATGTTTCTATCTTTTAATATTCCAACCACAGCCTGCCTAAGTTTTGACGGACATGATAACATACGTGAGGGGTGAACTCTATCATTTTTGTCTTAGAAAAGTAATGTAGAAATATTCCGTTTATATATTGTGCATGTTATTTTTTGACAGACATCGATGTTGTGTTCATATTAATTAATGCCCATGAGTGTGTTATGTCAATGTTTCTGTCTTCTAATATTCCAACCACAGCCTGCCTAAGTTTTGACGGAAATGATAACATACAATCATAGAGGGGTGAACTCTATAATTTTTGTCTTAGAAAAGTAATGTAGAAGTATTCAGTTTAAATGGACCTCAAATAAAGTGCAAATTCTCCAAATCTACGCTAAAATGCAGTACTGTATGACTGTGCTTTACTCTCCTGTTTGTGTTTTCTGTTGTGTTCAGGTCGAGAGCAGTTTCATGGCCTGGGCTCCATGTACTGCCGTGGTGCGGCTGCAGTCATCCTCACCTATGACGTAACCAACTGGCAGAGCCTGGCTGAGCTGGAAAACCGCTTCCTGTCCCTGACCGACACTGCCAACACTGACTGCATATTTGCCATTGTGGGTAACAAAGCAGACCTTACTGACGCTCTCGCTCAAGAGCCAGAACCAGAGAGCGAGCGATGGGACGAATCCCAGCCTGTGGTCACGTGTCCGACTCCTCCTGCCACAAAACAGGTCAGCAAAGAGGACGCCATCGCCCTGTACGGCCGTGTGCTACGCTACAAAGGCCTGGAGGAGAAGGCCTGTCTGCCTGCTGAGAGGATGTGCTTTGAGACAAGTGCAAAAACGGGTTACAATGTAGACATTTTGTTTGAAACCCTCTTTGATCTGGTCCTGCCCTCCATCCTGAAGAAAAGGAGTGAGGGAGAAAATGCCACTGTGGATCTGGAGATGCCAATGGAGGTGAAAAAGACTAAAACAGGATGTTGTGCAGGACAAATATAGGAGATGTGGGATTGTATTGTCAGTCAGTGCCAAAGGAGGAATGGATAAAAATCATACCTAAAACTAATGCTATTTACTGA